GTTGAATTCAATGCCCTCTGTCTTGATAGCATTATCATTTGGCTTGACTCTTTTTATGATTCGTTTATTTCATTTATATGAACACACTATCGCGGTCTTCAGATGCACTGGAAGAAGGCATCTGATGGTTGTGAGCCACCATGTGGTTGCTGGGAATTGAACTCAGGACCTCTGGAAGAACAGTCAGTTTTCTTAACCGCTGAGCCATCTCTCCAGCCCATTGGCTTGGCTTTTTGATGAAGAGGCTTCACTTTAAGTCCTCTGGGCCTTAAACTGGCGATTAGCGGTTATTGATCCTGGGAACAGGAGCCAAATGTTCCTTGTCCTTTTAATGCATGTGTTCCTATGGCTAGGAGAGGGCCTGGCTGCACAGATACTAAGATGTCTAAGGGCAGACGTTCCAATACGGATACAATGTATCAGATCTGTAAGATTCTGGTGCTCTGCGGACTTTCTAAAGGACACTGGGAGACTTTGAGTCAAGATGATAAGCAGTAAGTAGCCTTTTTTTTTTTCCTTTTTTTCCCACGGGAAGAGGTTTATTTGGGGAGGGGGGTGGGAGAGAGGAGCGGGAGAAGTGGCCCAAGCAGTAGTCTCATATGCCTGCTGCCACCAGTTATCTGGTAACCTACTTTGTGGTACTATGTTGCAGATGCTGGGGCTCAGCCCACCTCCCTGGGGAAGATCCCTATCATTAGTTAGGAACAGCATCCAGTGTGAAGGACACCCTGGTGGATGCCGCATCTTCACCTAATTACATTTAGCTTTGTGTGCGCTGTGTGGTGCTGAGGGTGGAAGCAAGGCCCTGCGTACATTAGGCTAAGGCTGTACCACTAAATCACCTTCCTCACTCTTTTGCTGTCTTTAAAAGGCAGTGAGCAGTCAGATGGTCACCAAACGATAGGTACTAGAGTCTTCACTGGGGACAAGGATCCCTTAAGGACATGCATGTTCGTGGCCTCTACAATGTCATCAAGTACAGGCCTTGGCAGTCCTTCCTCAGTTGGTTTTCTTTGCGTTTGCTTTGGAATATTCAAATACGGAAGCCAGAAGGCCACATGTAGGGGTTTTCTCTGTTCCACAGCCCCTCGCCTGCTCCCAGCCTTTTCTCAGGTAGACTGGGCACTTCACACTCTCCTCTACAGCTGCTTTATTTGCCTGTCATGTCTGCACTGCATTGGGGGTGGGGGATGCTTTCTGGACACATTGTGACTCTGGTAGATCTTGTTCCCTCCAAGAACCCGGGGTGGCCTCTCACGTGCCACCTTTCACTGACTCTTGCCCTAGGCTCTCTTGCTCTCTGGATCTGAGCCCACTCAGCTACAATGGCCTTGGGCTGGGTGTTTGGAGCTCTGGGGCCCACAAAGTATCAGATGTGCTCACAAGCAAATGGGGCTTCCTTGCTGCTCAGGGCTCCAGGCACCGCTGCTGAGCATGCCCAGTCTACAGCAAGAAGATCTTTGCATGTAGACCTTTGCACACTGCACACCAAACCCACCCATGGAGTAATACACACCTCCAAAATGTTGATGCTTTGGGATACTGTTGGAAATTACATGTGGATCATTTTACAGTGCTGCCAAAAACCAGAGGCAGAAAGGAAGTTAGATCTTAGCTTACAGTTCCTCAAGCTGGGAAATACAGTACCAGCCATGCCTTCTGTGGCTCTTACGCCCTTGGCTTTCTGGAGGGTTGTGATGCGTGAGCTATTGGAGAGTGTCAGAGCCATCTCATGTATTGTTCTCTGGCTGAACTACTTACATAGGTAACAGGATCGGGACTCCAAGGCCTGCCTGGACTATTCTATGAATTCAAAGCAGGTTGGGCAACTTAGTAAATGCGTTTCTGTAAACAGAAAATGAAAACAGAAACTTGCCCCCTAAAATAGATTCATTTTAAGAAATATGCATGATGAATGGATAGATATGATAAAGTCACAGGTACTTCCCACTGTCGGAGTAGGGGAGTGTCTGTATACTCACAGTCTTTACCTTTTCTGCAAATTCCCCATAAAGAAATGTTGGGTGAAGGTTGCCTCTAGCCATGAACTACTTCAATTTAAGCTAGGCTTTTGACCGACACAGTCCCTGGGCAAAAGTGAGGGGGTTTGTGTATTCAAAGATCCATTTCACCTTTGAAGACTCCTGTGGGAGGTTGCCATTGCTCAGGTCCTAAAGTAGTGCTGGTCACATGCTGGTGGGGAGACAGTTGTCATCCTGAATCCCATGTGACTGTGACCTTGTATGGGAGTGTTCCTGTGGCAGCCACATCACATGCCAGCTACTGTGTGGTGTGGGCCGCATTCCTTCGCCTCCTCTCGGCCTGCCTGGCATTCTTTCCTTCCCAGAGGCCTGGCCATATGCCTCAGCACAGCCTGTGAAATGGCCTGTGGCTTGTAGCCCCAGAGTGAGTGGAGACACTATCCTATGAAGGAGGATCGGGACACAGGGACACTCCAGATGGTCCCCCTTCCTGTTTCTTACAGGTTGTGGGTACTGCAGAGCAGATAAGCCAGAAGAAGAGGGCCAGGAAGTTGAGTGGCTATGGCTTCTCTAGTTAGGTCCTAACCTATATTGTAGAGCAGATTCGTCAGTGGTGAGGAGCATGCTGGAATCCAGTGTCAGAATAGCTGACTCCAAAGTAGAGGTGAATTCACTGCTGAGCCCCACTGTGATGACACCAAAAGTTCTGTTCTCCAGTCTCGAACTCACCTGTGCGTGGCCACTTAATACATTCCTTCTCCTGGTTTTCTTGATGGTCAGCCTTGGCAGCAGGCATCAAGGAGGGAGATATGCTGCTAACACAGTCAGCCTTTAAAAGAAGCCACTTAGTGAGTGAGAGAGAGAGAGAGAGAGAGAGAGAGAGAGAGAGAGAGAGAGAGAACTCAGTGGTTTTAAGAACACTTCTTGCAGAAGAAAAAACTTCATTTCCCAGAATGCATGTCAGGAGGCTTACAACAGCCTGCCAAGTCTATCTCCAAGGGCTGTGAAACCCTCTTCTGGACCAGTGGGCTCACATCCACATGTGCATATAACTACCCAGAGAGACACACAAATGAAAATGAATCTTCAGAAGAGTGAGCCATTTATAACACTGGAAATTTGAGATCCCCAGAGGACCCAGTATCTGTGCTTTTCAGGACACCCACATTATACTGGGCGGGTAGTAACACTCAGCTCCAGGCAGTGATGATGGCACTGCCCTGATGCCTGCAGAACCTTGAGGCAATGCCTCCCTGTTCCTAACAACGATCTACAGTAGCCACACGTCTTGTTTTGCTAGGGATCTAGCAAGCAAAAGTACAAGCAACAAGTCACAGATAGACAGCGAAACCATCACCAAATTGGACACTTTGGCCATCCAACAGAGATGACTAGGGGAGCCCAATAGAGAGAACAAGCAAGCAGCATCAAATCTGTTGCATATAGCACCCCCTAAAACAAACTGGGGAAGCCCTGCTGAGACAGACTGCTGGGGCTCCCAGATGAGAGTCCCAGGCAGAGCTGAGTGCTTTTTGTGGATGTGCTTCAGCTCCTTCCCACTGCGGGCATTTTTATACCATGGGGTAAACAGTAAACCTCTGTTGGAGATGGTTGACCTTCCAGTTCTCAAGGGCACAGTGTCTATAATACCCTTAGCTATGTGCTATCACAGGGCCGGGGGTTAACCTGCTCAGGACAGTTTCAGAGGACATTTGAAATAGACGGTCTCCTGTCCTCAGAGTCTGTTTTTTTGTAAGCACATGACGGTTTGCAGTATAATTTAATGTCTATTAGACCTCCTCCCTGACAGGCTGGGGACAGGACCCATTCAGCAAGGAGATCAAGGTTGCCCTCAGTAGGTTGTCATGATGGCTAAGCCTGCTGGAGGAGACAGCAGAGCAGGAGTTTAGACCAGATACGTCAAGCTGACTCTTTGGGCTCTACTGCAGCCTAGCTGGGTGACCTTTGTGTCTTCTGTCAGCTTCATTTTTCTAGATTCTCCCTTTGGGGGGGAAGGGGGTCATTAAGACAGGGTTTTTCTGTGTAGCCCTGGCTGTCCTGGAACTCATTCTATAGACCAAGCTGGTCTCCCAAGAGCAGGGGATTAAAAGGGTGCACCCACTGTCACTCAATATCATGTCTCATGAATTGAGTAATATGACACCCACTTTGTGGGTTACTATGAGAATGGATCGAGCCAGACATGAATACAAGTAAGAGTACTTGAGTGCCAGTGAGGGCTGAGGCTCCACAGCCCTCCCTCACTGCCCCCAACCCACCCCCACCCCACCCCCACCCCCAATGTCAGGACCCCATGGAAATCAGCACCTCACTAGGACTCAGGAAGTGTGGCTGGGCTTGGTTTTGCTTGGGCCTGCAACAAATCCCCGTATGTCTTATGGATTCAGGCAGTCCCGGAGGTCAGAAAGTCCAAGTTTGTTTCCTCTGGCTGAAGTCAGGGTGCCTACATGGTTTTACTCCCTCACACCCCTGGAGGCGCTAGGTTTCCCCAGCTTCTAGAGCAGTGTTTCCTTGCATTTCTTGTTTATCTTCCGAGCCAGCTGCAGAGTGTCTTGCTTCTTTTGTTCCCTAGCCACCTTCTGTAGTCACCCCCAAGCCCCTGTTATGTTGTGAGGACCTTGTTGGATTTATGGTCCAACAGGACCATCTGGAAGAGGCTGCTCTGTTCCATCTCATTGGTGGTTTTGCCTCCTGATACTCAGTTTCTGGTGTGGACATATTGGGAGACTTATCTTCACACATCAGCTGAATCAGGAAGCTTTTCTGGTTTCATGTCATGGCTTGGCCAGGGACTGGTCTATTTTAAAGCAACAGTCTATACCCTGCCAGGTCACACGCATTATTCTGTGACCTTATCAGAGGAAAAGTCTCTGAGGAAAAGTCAGCCTCATTCTCTGCGGGATTCCTCTCCCTGGCACATGGCCGGCACTGGGGGTATGTGTTCATCATATATAAAGGCCAGCAGGTCCTGACTGATGCACGCGTGTGTCCTTTTAGGCCACGGCGAGTGTCACTGTGGAGAATGCAAGTGCCACGCAGGTTACATTGGGGACAATTGTAACTGTTCAACGGACATCAGCACATGCAGGGCCAAGGATGGACAGATCTGCAGCGACCGAGGCCGTTGTGTCTGTGGGCAGTGCCAGTGCACAGAGCCCGGAGCCTTTGGGGAGACATGTGAGAAGTGCCCAACCTGTCCTGATGCTTGCAGCTCCAAGAGGTAAGGCCTGCTCTTCCACCCTCAACTCCAGGTCTGTATTTCATCGGGCAGCCCTCCCTAGGCAGCCTCCTGTGCCTGCTCTCCAGCCTCTCCCATCTGTGCAGCCTGTCTGCCAAACAAAACTTGTACCAACAGTTGCCAAAACACTAGCTATGAAATGCTGTTATTGGTGGTTTCGGGGGAGGAAGAGAGGATCGGTGGAGGGAAAGTTAAAAATAGGCCACAAAAATTCGACGTCACTGATCCAGTCTGAGCAAGTTTAGAGATTGCAGAGGAACAGCGGGAATGAGATGGACCTGGTGCTGGGTCCAGACACAACAGCGCCTCAGAGCCTTGAGCATGCTATAGTTTGCTCAAAGGAGAATGCAGTGTGTGTCCTTCTCCATATGACTGTGGTCCTCCACAGAGCAGCTTCCAAACAATGCTTCCTAGACCAGGCCTGTGGGAATTGCTGCATTAAACAGACTGTAATCAGAAGGCAAATAGGGTGGAGAGGAGCCGACCTAGATTGGGATGCCTGGAGCAAGCGTGGGGGCTTTGGATTTTTCTGCTCTATTTGTGCTGATAATAGAGCCGGACGGAATATAGAGGTTGTTTGGTCTACAGACACTGGCTCAGTGCTGGGTCGGGTCACACAGTCTGACGACCATCCTCCCCTCTGCTCTTCATGCAACAAAGGCTGGTTGCAAGAAGTCTAGCAGCACTGCTGCCTGGAGCACAGGCATGCCTGCCGTTGGCTGTCAGAACTTCCTGGATAACAGCTGTGTCGTCACTGGAGCTGAGGAACCAGGCAGGCAGTGGGGGAAGCTGGGCACCAAGCAGAAACAAGTGGTGATGCAGGCAGTGTTCCTCCTTGGCGGAGGAACACAAGTGTGCCATTTTCTTTTGGCAGATTTCCCCAAAAATGTCTGGCCAGGCTGATAATGAATCGAGCTGATGCTCGCAGAGCCTGCAGTTGCCACCGCTCAGCTGTGCTCACAAGCATTCTGAATGGCTTGACCCTCCCTGGCCATGTGCCACAGACAGCCCTGCGCATGGGCAGCTGGACCTGCCTCCAGATCAGAGACAAGATAGCCGGGGAGTGGCCAGGCTCCATGCCTGTGTGACTGGAATCACAGCCCTAGTCAGCAGATTGTGCCCAAGGAGCTCCCCGACTCCCACCTTCCCACCCTCACACCCCCTCCAGCCCCCACAGCTTCTAGCCAGTGTTATTCCCGCTGCTCAGGGCATATGAGGCTCATGGGGAGTGGGCAGAGCTAGGGCAGCACACGGAGTCAGTAAAAGGAGCTGAAACCTCCCCTGCCTTCCTGTGGAGTGGCAGGCAATGTGGGCTTGTCTTGAACAGTTAAAAGACCTCAGGGAAAGGCAAGAGCTAGGAAGGCCCAGAGATAGGGACTGATCCTTCTCATCTATCCCTAGACCACCCTGACCTTCTGTCCCTTTCATAGCCTAAAACCAATTTGTTTCTTTTCCTTTTCCTTCTCTTTTTCTTTGCCTTCCTTCCTTTCTTCCTCTTTCCTTCTTTCTTTCTTTCTTTCTTTCTTTCTTTCTTTCTTTCTTTCTTTCTTTCTTTCTTTCTTTCCTCCTTCCTTCCTTCCTTCCCTCCCTCCTCTCTCCTTTTTTCCAAAGTTCTTTTGATCATGGAATTTTAGGCCATTTTCCTACTTGCTGTTTTCTGAGAGGTTCTGAATATGTTAGTCCTTCATCCCTGTGTTCTAGAACTCACCAAACACACCCTTCACTTCAGTGAGGTCACACTCGGCTCCAGCTGATTTTAATTAACATGCCTTGAGCAAAAGTCTCCGTGAGCAGCTTGCTTTTGTAAAGGGGCAGACAAGCTTTAATAGTAACTACAGTGCATTCTGAGTTTCCCCCAGGACAGGAGACTCAGTTCTAGTCTGCTGTACCCACATGGGTTGTTGGAGGGTGTCTGAGAGGTGACCTGGAACCGTGGTGATACAGCAGTGTATCTGAGGGGAGCTGTGGGTTCCCCCTCAGCTGGAAGCAGGCATCCTGTTTTCCATGTGTTGATCCAGGAGGCTGGCAGAAGGTCCAGCAAGCATGAATGACCAGAGATGGAGCCACCTCTTCCTGGCCACTGGCCGAGCCTGCCTACCCTGAGTGGAGGTGGGGGTAGGAGAAGGGACCATACAGGACAGGAGACAATTATGAGCTGTACTGCCCAGCTGCAACTCTGTAGAGTGCGATCAGCCCAGGAGAGGAAGATTTGCCACCAACTTTGGAATAGTGCATATCAGTGCCCTCTTGAGAAAGTTATAGCCCTCTCTCTTCATAATCTACTCACTCTCTAGTCCTTGTTGATGTCCAGAAGGTGGTTCAGAGTATGTCGGGAGGCAAGACTCTAGGAGGGGGGGGTCTCTGGAAAGTGGCTCTACCGTGTATGGAGCTCCGTCTTGCTCTGAGATCAAAGTCCCCAGCTCCTGTGCTAGAAATATAACTTCAGTCAGTATGTGACTTCCCTCTGGAACCAGGGAACTGTCTAGACACCCCGCTGTTTTGATCCCCATCAGCATGTGGGATAAGCAGGTGACCTGTCCCCTTGTGACTAGGGTTTTGTGGGGATACCCATCGCTTTAGTGTCAGGGTGCCTCCCCTGCACACATACACAAACACACACACACACGTCTTTAGACCTCAGAGTGCCACTTTCCCAGAGTCCCCTGTCTTCCTCTGCCCTGGAGTTTGCTTTTCCCATGGCTCAACCCTGGTCTTCCCAAGGAGGCAGGGACCATTCCTCTCTTACAAATTTTAACAGTGGCTTTGGCTGAGTCCTGGCCTCTCAGCTGTGTTCCCAAGCTGATGCAATCTTAGGAGGGAGACTGTCTGGACTCAGGTTTGATGATTTAGAATGAATTAATAACTACTCAACAGAGCATTGTATATCCTCGCGTGCTGTCAGCTCAAGGTGGGTGGTGGGTTTCTTTTTGCCTCATCTATTTTCTAGAGAAGGCCTCTGTTATAAAATGTACCAGCTTTGGTGTAGACAATTACCATGTAAGTGGCCAGTGTGCCCTGAAGGACGCTGACAGGTGGACACTGTGTAGGAATGGGGATAGGGCTGGAGCCCAGGGTACCCAGACATTGGTATCAGTTCTTCTGGCTACCAGAATTGCCAGGAAGCCCCACCCTAGAGGTCAGCTCTTAGGGTTGCAGTTGAGCCAGGCATTGAGGCCTACTGAGCCTTGTCCAGAGAGTGACAGATGGGGATACTGAGGTTGGAGTAACACAAGGGCTTCAGACACTGGACCCAGGAATGTAGAGGCTCCTCTGTGGGCCAGGAGTAACTTTTATACCCCGGAAACCTCTTCCATGGAGCTGACTCCTCGGCCAGTTCACTGTAGTAGGGTACAGGTGGATTTGGTTTGGTTCCTGCTCTCAGCATTGGGAAGGTCTGCAGCTGGCAAATTGACCAGTATACCAGATACATCTCCCTGAAACCCTGGGGCTTCCTTTTTAACACCAGCAAGATGTCAGGTCATCATGTCCTTAAGGTTAGACTTCCAGACTGCAGCTGAGCCTTTGGGACAGTATGCAGCCATTAACGACCACCTTGATTTTCTCAGAGACTGTGTAGAATGCTCTCTGCTTCACCAAGGGAAACCTGACAACCAGACCTGTCACCACCAGTGCAGAGATGAGGTGATCACGTGGGTAGACACCATCGGTGAGTGCCCTGCAGAACTATGGACAGCTGTCTCTCAGACCTTGGCAGGCATCTAGGGGTTTTTTTTCTTCCCTGGGGAGTGAATGGTCTCAGCCTTGAGTTAGGCCCAATGTAGCTTTGGCATGATTGCTGGCTCCCCAAGGGGAGCCTGGGGTGGGGCTCTTGCATGTTATTGGCAGGACTCTTGCACAGAAATCAGTTTGGCAGCTGCCCAAAAAGCTGCTCACAGAATCAGCACACAGTCATGACCCAAAGATTTTTACGTAAATGGTTATGGCGTTGATTGAAATCGTCCGTTGTTCATTAACTGATGAATGGTAAAGCAAATGTACAATATCCATCTATAATGCAATATTATCTTGTCACACGAAAGAGTCAGAACACTATCATCATAACATGCATGGGCCTCCAAAATATTGGGCTAAGTAAAGAAGCTGGAGAGAAAAGAACGTATATATTAAACAGTGTTCACAGTAGGCAGTGCCAATTGAGGAAGAGGGGCCGAGAGTGAGTGTTAAGAGCACATGTAGACATTGCTGGGTGGTGGTGCAACATTGTGAGTTTCCTAAATTGGCCACATTTTGAAATGGTTAAACAGTTCCTAAGGGACTGCATATCTGAAGAGAGAAATTTCAACCAAGGCTCGCCAGTACTAGCAGACTTGCCCTCAGCCTTGACCCCCAGCTGCTGTAAACTCCCAGGCTTTGTCTGCCTTGGTCCTGGATTCTCTTCTTTGTAGACTCCTGTTTCCTCTTCCCTGGTTTTGATGGACTGCTTGGCCGGCTCACAGCCTTGAAGTATGCTGAATCTATTTATCTCATGAACATTCAGTGAGCAGTTACTGTGTGGCTAGCCTCATGCCAGATTCTGGGCAGTTGGGAATTCTTTGCAGCCCCTCACATCCTTGCCTTTTGCTCTTTCCCTGGCCTGCTCTCCAGGGCCTGGCTGAGCTCCTTTTCAAGGAAGCACATGTAGTGAGGAAAGAAAAAGGGTCCCCTTCCCACCTCCCACAAACAAGTCCTATGTGGGATAGCTTCTTCCCAGCCTGACTCGCCAAGGAGACTCTGCAGAGAAGTATATATATCCAAGCCACCACCTGCCCCTAGGCAGGCTTTCTTTTTTATTTTTATTTATTTTTTCCTTATGTATTTACTTGTTTGCTTGCTTGCTTATTTATTTATTTTTGAAGCAAGGTCTCACTGTAGTCCTGGGTGGCCTAGAAGTCACTATGCAGACTGGGCTGGCCTCGTACTCAGAGACCCACCTTCCTCTGCCTCATCGGTACTAGGATTAAAGTGTGCCCCACCATGCCCAGCTTTATTATTTTGTTCCTATTTTTATATTTTTCTCACTATATATCCCACTTCAAACTTTGCATCCTCCCGTCACAGGCCTAACTTCCTTTTCTCCAACATCTTTACCTCCTAAAGATAAGTCCTAAAACCCTTTTCTGGGGACCTGGTACCTGGACAGGACAGGGTCAAGGGCAGTGTGGGGAGAGAAGGGCTGTGCCAGCCAAGGAAGGGCTTTGTCAGGAGTGAGACCCGGTATACACAGAGCTGGCCCTTTAATGGCTAGATCTCTGACAGGGTCTCATATATCAGTGTGGAGTGCCACCACGCAGCAGCCTCTCATCCTCAGAGCCTCGCACCCTGAGTTACAGCTCTCAAGGAAGAGCAACCTCTGGTCCTCTTTAGTCAACTCAGCTCTGCAGACTGGGCCAGTTTCCAAAAGCACTCACTCAGGCCTGCTGCATCTAGTTCCATTCATCTGTGTCCACTCCCAACCATTGAAGACTTCTTTTATTTCATGTCACTACTAGCCAACACTTCAGAGGGTTGACAATCCTGATGGGATCCAAATGTCCCCAAATCAATAAACTCAGCCCTGGGCCTGTGATCTTGATGTGAGAAGTCTGAGCTCATTTTAAAGCCCCGAGGCTCCTTGTAGTCTCCCATCTTTTCCTGCGGGGCGTGGCTTCTATCCCCGTCTGTGAGAGTGGTTCTAGTGCTACCGAAAGAGATGCTCAAGATGTCTCTGCTTGCTTTTCCCTCTTAGTCAAAGATGACCAAGAGGCTGTGCTTTGCTTCTACAAAACTGCTAAGGACTGCGTTATGATGTTCAGCTACACAGAACTGCCCAATGGGAGGTCCAACTTGACGGTCCTCAGGGAACCAGGTAGGTGAGAGCCCGAGGGGCCATCCTCAGCCTGACTTCTTGTGCCAGTCCCTTTGTGGTGGTGCAAGCCTGTGAACCCAGCACTCTGGAAGGTAAAGATGGGGAGATGAGCCATTGAGAGCATTTAAAGGCCAGCCTGGCTACTTGAGACTCCATCTCAAAGTACGTGTTTGGAGCACACTAGCCAGCCGTACTGCTGAAGCTGAGGGCTGAGGCTGGCACAGTGGGGCTTTGAGAGTGCTGCTGCGGAGCCTTACTTACTGTGAAGGAAACCTTAGCATGCTGGGTTAAAGGGTTTTGTAGGGAAGATGCAAGGCAGCCGCTCCACCAGGGCTAGGGTGTTCCGTAAGTTGAGGATTATCCAGGTCACGGCAGTCCATACGGCTGCTGCTGTTTCCCAGTTCAGATTCCAAGGGCAGACGGAGATAGCATTCCTACCTGCTGCTGCTCAGTACCAACAATTCTATCTTGTGCTTCTTCTGGGCACCAGGACTAGCTCCTGTGCCTCAGAGTGACTGGGACTCCAGCCATTTCAGTTTTTGGATCTGGGAAGGAGTAGAAAAAGGTTTGCAGATTCCAGGTCACAGAGCCCAATTTGCAAGTTGAGCCCAACCCCCAAACACAGTATTGCCTTCCTAGGCCAGAGACAGGAAGTGAAGTACTAACCCAGGGCGCTTGCCCGTGGCCTTGCTTTCAAGCCCTGTCTTTGCTTGGAAATAAGCACATTTGCTCCTTGGAGCTCTTTGCTAAGGGCTCAGAAATGCCTGGCCCTAGACCAGGCCTTTCGGAAGTGATGCATGCTATTGCCTGCCTGTCTGGTTTGTCCCTGAAGCCATCGATATGAAAGCTGGGCTATGGCCCAGCCTCCTACCTTGAAGGCTCTGGAGCAGTCCAATAGAGGTATAGACATTCACCAGGGGCCTCGTTTCTGTCACCACTGGGCTGTGTGACCTTGAAACAGTTGCTGAATTCTTTGACTCTTTCACTGTTTGTTCCTTGGGGAGACTACTAGCACCCACCCCAGCTTTCAGTCTCACAGAGGCAACATGAGGGGGGATGGACAGGAGGGACGGTGCAACCTTTCTCCTCAGACATAACTGGGATGCTGATGGCTCTGCCCATCTGTCTCCTGGTCCCTTCCAGAGTGTGGAAGTGCCCCCAATGCCATGACTATCCTCCTGGCTGTGGTTGGCAGCATCCTCCTGATTGGGGTGGCACTCCTGGCCATCTGGAAGCTGCTTGTCACCATCCATGACCGCCGAGAGTTTGCTAAGTTCCAAAGCGAGCGATCCAGGGCCCGTTATGAAATGGTGAGTGGGGGATGGGTTAAAAAAGACAAAAGTTGCTGGCCTAGAGCCAGGGCCAAAGGCTAAAAACAATCAACCAAACCAACGAAAAATGAGGTAGGTATGGTAGTATGCACCTATATTCCCAGCTACTTCGAGGCTGAGACAGGAGGAGTTTGAAGTTCAAAGCTAGCCTGGGTTACTTACCAAGCCCTTGTCTCAAAATAAAAATAACCAAATTTTGAGTGTAGTTCAGGGGCAGCGTGCTTGCCTAGCATGTGCAGGGCTCTGCTAGTACCACAGAATAAACAAACCATGGATAGGAGTATTACAAGCCTGGAAGACATGAGGGGTGTACAGACCCTAGTGCATGCTGGGACTGCTGAGGGGTGGGGTGGAGCACCAGAGGCAGGCTCAGTGGGGAGTTGGACAGACACAGAGATAGAACCCTGAGAAAAAAGCTCAGGCTCTCAGGTCTGGTTGGATGAGCAAGTCCTTCTGCCCCAGACACACTGCAGGCTCAGGAGAACAGAGCACAGGGGAAGTACCCCCAACTCCCCAGAGTTAGAGTCTGTCTGTTCAGGTTCCAAGGGACTTCCGGGGCTTTCTGCCTAAGCCCTGTATTTCAGAGACAAAGAGTAAAGGCTCAGAGAAGGGAGGGGATTCCCCCAGAGCACAGAGCAAGTCAGAAGCAGGCATCCCTGCAGGTGCTGGACGGACCTGAGGCTGAACTAATACATGCGCTTTCCTCTCGTGCTCGCAGGCCTCAAACCCCCTGTACAGAAAGCCCATCTCCACACACACTGTGGATTTTGCCTTCAACAAGTTCAACAAATCCTACAATGGCTCAGTGGATTGAGGCTCCTGCATGGCTGGAGGGGGACTAAGGACAAAGACTTGTGTGTCTTGGACTACTTGGACCATTTGCTCACGCTAGCTAGGCACGCACCGAGATGCCCTCCAATGGGCCGTAAGGGACCCGCTACTCAAACAGCAGGCCACAGGCACGTGGGGCCACGTCCCTCTACGCCAGGGAGAGCAAGGAGACTCTGGTGTTCTAGGCTTCCCCACTGCCTCCAGCTTGCTGTGTCCATGAACTGCTGAAGGCTGGGCTGCCCCTCCCTTTCCTGCTGGACCAGGCAAGAAGGTATCTGGAAGACTCTTCGTGTACAAAGCTAGCGTGCAGCCTGGCCTTTTCGGGTTGATCATTTTTTTTTCTATGAAATAAAAAGGTCACGCATTTATGGTGTAGATCTGATTACTGGTTCCCTGAGGGCTGTCTGCCTGGCATCTGTGGGTGTCGGTAGTAGAATCCGGGAGTCGTCTATTGAAAGTACATGCCTTGCAAATGTTAGGTTTTGCCCTCTTGGCTATGTTTGTTTAGTGCTTTTGTAATGAAAAGGAAAGTTTGGGATTGAAAGTAAAGATGGAAACCAAGCAACTTTGTGTTGGCTTTGTACATTCTAGCTTGTGCCTCCCTTTCTGAGTGGTCTTGAGTAGAGACTGGCATGCCCATACACTTTATCAGGGACAAGACTTGAACCAGACCAATACTCCCGAGCCGGGCTCCCTGACGTTCTGGGTATTTACGGTGTTGAGCAAGTACCGTTGGGCCTCCCTGGTTTTGCTTAGAGTTCTAGATAGAAGCTGTCCAGACTACACGTGTTTCCCACCTGTGTTCTGCATTAAGAAAGCTAGAAATAGATGGTGCAGATGCTATCTGTGGAGGTATGTGGCTTCCACATAAAATGTTTCTTATGCTACGTGTACTGGCTGGATTTGTGTGCCAGCTTGACACAAGCTGGAGTTATCACAGAGAAAGGAGCCTCCCTTGAGGAAATGCCTCCATGAGATCCAGCTGTAAGGCATTTTCTCAATTAGTGATCAAGTAGGGAGAGCCCAGCCCACTGTGGGTGGTGCCATCCCTGGGATAGTGGTCCTGGGTTCTATAAGAAAGCAAGCTGAGCAAGCCAGGGGAAGCAAGCCAGTAAGCAGCATCCCTCCATGGCCTCTGCATCAGCTCCTGCCTCATGCCCTGTGAATTCCTATCCTGACTTCCTTTGGTGATGAACAGCAATGTGGAAGTGTAAGCTGAATAAACCCTTTCCTCCCCAACTTGCTTCTTGGTCATTTTTTTGGTGCAGAAATACAAACCCTGACTGAGATGTAAATACTAGACTCAGACCAACACCTTCCTTCATCAAGCCCATGAAGGCCCAGACCCTGAGGTCATCTCAGCTGCTATTTTCTGCAGAGCCATTACTCTAGATTCTCTTTGGATATAAGTAGCTCCCAGTAGCCTCCTGACCCATTGCCTTCACTATTATAGAAGAGTAAGCTGGCTCTGGAAGGGGAAGTGGCTTGCTGAGGCTCAGGCTAGCTGAGGATATTGTGGTGCTAAGCCCTGGGCTAACAATGTCTCACTTCCTTGAGAAATCATTCATTAAAGTTTTGTTTTTGAAAAACTGATTTTTAAAAATATTTACGAGTGTTTAGCTTGCAAGCATGTCCATATACAACATGTGTGTCTGGCCGGGCGGTGGTGGCGCACACCATTAATCCCAGCATTTGAGAGGCAGAGCCAGGTGGATTTCTGAGTTCGAGGCCAGCCTGGTCTACAGAGTGAGTTCTAGGACAGCCATGGCTATACAGAGAAACCCTGTCTCGAAAAACAAAAAAAACAACAACAACAACAAAAAACCATGTGTGTCTGGTACCCACAGAGGCCAGAAGAGGGTGTTAAATTTGGTCCCTGGGAACTAGAGTTACAATCTGTTGTGAGCCATTATGTGTGTTCTGGAAACTGAACCTCGATGCTGTGCAAGAGGAGTCAGTATTCTTAACTGTTGAGCATCTCAGCCCCTTGCTAAAGGTTTTTCAGTTCAACACTTCAAGCCTTGGATAAGCATTGGACCAAATTTCTCTTCTGTGATTGGCCTGCTTTAGGGTGAATGCTGACTGTGTGGGACAAAGAGAACTGATTCTGAGTTCTTCCTCTTGTGGAACTCAGAGATATGGCCATAAGTCCCTTTACAAATATATAAGACAAGAAATTGATGGCTTTGAGACTTTCTAAACAGAAGAAGGAAAAGGAGGAGGAGAAGAAAAATGATGATCATGGAAAAACTTAAGTTTCTTTTCTACTTATTATGGGTCTCCTAGAGACCACGCACTAACCTGTTCAAATCCTGTTTTTTATAGGCAGTACTGTGAGCACTTGACACCGTTGAGCCACAGACTGACACTCAGGGTCGCCACTCTTTGTTTCTGCCCAATGCCCAGGTTATTAGGTGTGTTTTCAGTGACACCAAGAGAAAGACATGTCTAATGGTGTCCTGCTGCCCCCTGCTGGAAGTTCTTGACATAAGCTGGGATACTGTGGCCCAATATTCTGAGTAGAGGCCAACCATGATTTCCTCATTCCTAAGGTTGCATAATGAGCCAAAAGTGGTGGCAATGCCCTCTATTCCAAATGCCTCATCTTGCACAAGCCAGTTCCATATGCAAACATAAATAACATGATTTGGGAGCCACATGATAAGCTTGCCACAGCATATATATTAAGGACAACTTTGTGGAGATGGTTCTTCCATCTTTTCGTAGGTTCAGTATTGAACTCAAGTCCACAGGTTTATAAGGCAAGTGGCTTCATGCACTATATTCTTGGAGCTCTACTGGTTTGGTTTGGTTTGGTTTGGTTTGGTTTGGTTTATTGAGGTAGAACTTCAGTCTGTAGCTCAGACTTCCTTAAAACTATGAAGCCCAGGCTGGTCTTGAACTCATCAAAGTCCTCTTCCCCACCTGAAGTGCTGGGTTTCCAGGTGTGCACTACCATACCAGGACTGGATCTGTCTAATAATTTAAAAATTATAAAGCAAGCACTTTACCGACTGGTTCATCGACCTGGCTTTTAGATTTTATTGATTGTCTTGAATGATTTTTTTTCTAACCAAAAAATTCTTACTGAACAAAATAAGAAATAGAATCATAAGGTAAAAGGCATTTGGAATCACACCACTCAGAGGTAAATACTCTTGGCCTCTGCTATACCTTAGATCTTACTTTCTCCCTAAGGCATGAATAGGGCAGGCTTGGTTCCTTGGAACTATCGGAAAGGGGCTTTGACATGAGGTTGTTGGAGGTCTTCCAGTCACTGGGGGCATGCCCCGGAAGGGGATGGCAGGACCCTAGCCTCTTCCTCTCTGTTCCCATTCCCAGCAGTAAAGTGAGTGATTTAGCTCTTCTGTAGCTTGTGCCAGTCATCTCTCAATGGGCCTCACTTTCTACATCTGTGGGATGGGAAGGTTGGCTGGGCTGATCTTGAAGGGGCTTCTGATTTCAGTTTCCCAGGCATCTGGGCAAAGCCATCACTTGGATGGCTGTGATAGATTTCAGTTCTCTTGGGCTCACCTGCTCAACCTCAGCATGTGTAGCCTTCATCTTTTGAGACATGTGTTCTGTGTAGTTCAAGTGCAGACAGGAAAGGAGCCCTGGGTGGCACCAGAGGCATTCTTGAGGAGACTTTATAATCATGTGATGTGTTAGGGTTCTCTAGAGTCTAAAGGAACAGAACTGATAGAATATATATATAGAAAGGAAATTTATTAGAGTGTTTACATGGGCTGTGTCTGGCTAGTCCAACCAAAGCTGTCTTCCAACAGAAAGTCTAAGAATCTAGGAGTTGTTTAGTTCACAAGGCTGGATGTCTCTGCTGGCTGTCAGTCTATGTTGAAATCCCAAAGAAATGGGCTGTAATACCAGTGAAGGAATGAACTTGCTGTTGGGGATGAGAGCAAGCAGACAAAGAGCAAGCACTTTTTCTCTGTCCTTTCATAGGCTGCCACGAGGTGAGGCCCCAGGTTGAAAGGGGGTCTCCTGACCTCAAATGATCTGGATTTTAAGGTGGGTCTTCTGATTTTAAGTGATGATCCAATTAACTAAAAATCCCTCAGACAGAGTCTTGAGACAGAGTCTTCCTATGTAGCCCTGGCTGACCTCCAATTTGCTGACTAAGCAAGCCTCTTAGTGCTGCAATGCTGAACTCATGATCTTCCTCCCTGAAACTCATGCAGGGAGTGCTAGGATTATAGGTGTGAGACACTATGCCTTGTTAGAGGGAAGAGCTTTTTTTTGGAGGGGCTCAGTGACCTCCCCTAATCTATCCTCCAGAAGCTGACAGGTACTTTGATGGTGTCCTATGAGGGAGAAGCCTAGACATGGTTGGGGGATGCACAGCCAAGAGAGCAGGTGGTCTTGGTCAAGCCAGGGGTCTGACTGGTTATTATGTCAGTTCTGGTTCTTAGGGGTCCTAGAGAAGGTTTTTATCATGTTCACCTCCTGAGGGGAGCAATCTGGTTTTCCACAAAATGATTGTTCCCAGAGTTCCTTCACAGGTAATTTCCCTCTCATGTTGATGGATCTCACTGTGGGGTGATATAGCCTATTAGGCTCACTCCAAGTATTTAGTTTTGGTCCTTTGTCATAAAGATGGCTACTAAAGGGAACAGTTAGTCCTGTCATCTTTGGAACCCAAGAGCAATGCAGAAGAGAATGAGTCAAGAAGAAAAACATCAGCTGGGTGGTGGTGGTAGCACACCTTTAATCCCAGCACTCAGGAAGCAGAGACAGGTGGATCTCTCAATTCCAGTCTGGTCTACAGAGAGAGTTCCAGAACAGTCAGGGCCACACAGAGAAACCCTGTCTCGAAAGAGAGAGAGAGAAAGAGAGAGAGAGAGAGAGAGAGAGAGAAGAGAAAAGTGAGATACCAGAGGGAGACAAAATGGAGGTGTAAGGCTGGTGTCCTCCCTCAGACCCTCCCTCGTGTAGAGTTAAACACCTGTGGATCAGCAGTGCGCACACCAGGATGCTAAATAGCTGCCTCAGCGAGCTGCACCTGCCAAGTCAAGGAGGCACAGGTGGTCCTGAGAGGGCCCACACTTCTCACTCCTCCTCAGTCTGTGGTCAGAGTTTAAGGATTCTCACACATCCTGGCAGCCATTTTAACCAGAAAAAGCAGGAGCATGTAGACATGTAGATGTTGCAGGCCATCACCTTCAACTCAGCTGCTGTCTGCAGTTTTCCCTGCAGGGCAAGACTGACTTACGTCAGCATGCCCCTGGTTTCCACCTCCATGATAAAAGCTGGACTAGAGCGGGCTTTGAGGCTGACCAGACTTCAGATCTGAACCATAGCTTGTAACAAGAAGAGGGGGTGGGGTGGGTTGAGGCTTGAAGATTTCCTAAATTTCTCCACAGTAAACACCCACGGGTGTCTGTGTTAACTATATGCCCTGGGCCTAGGTCAGAATCCTGGGTCAGTCCCTCACTATTGTTATTGTGGGTACTCTGCTGATACTGTTCCTGTTTTCTCACCAGGATTAGTTGTTTTATCTGAATCAGTCAACTGTATTATTTTCATGACCCATGCTGTTTAGTTTTTGCT